CTCGTTCACAATATGGTTGCGAACATTATCTTCAACCCATTGCCGTATACATCCACATACTTGTTGGTGCTCGAAATCTCAATCTTCATCGGATATACTCTCGGGTTTATGAGCTGAAAAAACGGGTAGATGCATCTTCTTCACGAACAACAAGTCTTTCATATTGCTTCTCCAAACATTATAATTTCTCCCATTTAAACATACCATCTTGCTCATATTCGCCTCCATTCCGTAATAACCCGGATAAATAACCAAGGCTCTGATACCACTGTTATGTCGAGGAAGAGGCAAATCCGAAAATAAAGAAGATAAAGAACACCAAATTTTAACGTGGAAAACCCTTCAAATCGAAGGTAAAAACCACGGGATCACAAAGATCCAAAAAGCTCCACTATAACAATAAGAGGGTTACAAAAGTTCTCCAAATTGGCTACACAACAAGGGCCAAACACGGAGCAACAATAGCAACAAGAGCAACAACTAATCAATTGAAGAAAGAGTATAATCCACAAAATAAAGCTGTTGTAGCTCGAAATCAGATGTTACGAGCCTCCAAATCCGATCTCCACCGTTCAAATCCAAGACCAAGATATTACGAACACTCAGTCAAAATTTCAGCCCGATCCAATGGTTAACGAATCGGAAAACGTGATTTGAAGTTGGCTGGTTGGAATAAAAATCTGCAACAAAATAAATACTTTTTTTTCTCTCTTCTCTCTTGATGAAAACTCTCTCAAAACCCACTCTTATGTGCTTAAGTCTTTCAAAGACTTGTATCAATGAGCATAGAATAATTCTCCAAGGTTGTCCTATTTATAGATCATGAGTGGTGCTTTCTCTTAAAGCCAAAACCCACTCAAAATAGGAATAAACCGAATCCAATTCCAAATAGAATTGGAAACCAAAAGAGAATAGGATTAGGCCATTGGGCCTTTGGCTGGACAACATGGGCATGTGCCCAACAAAATGGACCTGAAAAGATTCCACTAACAGAATTTGGAATTTCCAAGGTAAAATAGACCTGAACACTTTGTTTTTTCTAACGTCACGTATGTAGTCTCTTGCATATATCTTTTCTCGGGTATTAGAGTACCTGGAACTTAGTATGGATCTCCATTTAAAAATATGTTAATTGCATTATATAGAGTGTGGTAATCAAATAGCTCAGATAGCTTTTTGACTCCTAATCCATTTCTGCTTTGATTGTTGTAATAAGAGATTATGTGTGTGCTCCTAACATTCTACTTTGAATTGTGTGTGGATATGACTCTTAGGCTACAGTCTGTTCTGTAATTCATTTGCTACTTTTAGGAAATTTAACCAAATCCAAAATGTATAAGGATATGAGGAAGAATAGCACACAAGTAAACGATTAGTTATATCTTAAGTATTTTTTTTTTTTTTTGTGGTGGGATAGCTAGGTAAAACTAAAGAATCAATGAATGAGCAAAAAAGAACCGAGTGGATGTAAGAAACTCTATATTTTTAGCTTTTCAAAAAAAGAAATAAGAAAGAGGAAATGTAATATA